CTTTCCTTTTACTACCCGATAGCTTTAAACGGTTAACCAGCCAATCTAAGTACCAATCTCCCAATCCTGTTGACCAAACTACTAATAAAAAACCATGTAACCTCTTTCCTTTTACTACCCGATAGCTTTAAACGGTTAACCAGCCAATCTAAGTACCAATCTCCCAATCCTGTTGACCAAACTACTAATAAAAAACCATGTAACCCCTTTCCTTTTACTACCCGATAGCTTTAAACGGTTAACCAGCCAATCTAAGTACCAATCTCCCAATCCTGTTGACCAAACTACTAATAAAAAACCATGTAACCCAACCGTTTAAAGCTATCGGGTAGTAAAAGGAAAGTAGTTTGGTCAACAGGATTGGGAGATTGGTACTTAGATTGGCTGGTTGTTTATTATATATTTTGTAGAAAAAAAAAAACTCACAATCACTTTATTTTTAATTATATATTAAAGATAAGTTATTATTTAATGTTTTTATTGGTGCTTTATTTTTAACAACTTTAGATTAAATCTGATCTGATGAGGTTAAAAATGAGATACAAAAAACAAAATTTACATAACAGTCATTAGCTTTAACAACTGTTTTAGGTGATTAACTGTCAGATCACAAGTTAAGACCAGTATGTTGATGCATTCAATAATAAAAAAAATTTATTAGTAGTTTGGTGAACAGGATTGGGATGTTGGCACTTAGATTGGCTGGTTAACCGTTTAAAGCTATCGGGTAGTAAAAGGAAAGGGGTTACATGGTTTTTTATTAGTAGTTTGGTCAACAAGATTGGGATGATTTACTTTTGAAACAGCTACATAAAAGGTTGTTTGAAAATAATCTACAAATGGTAATCCTAAGCTTAATTTTACACAATATCAGTTTGCCCACGAAGAAAGGTCCACCTTTTGAAAGCACTATAATTGTAGGGTATCGTGTCTTTGTGTCAGAAGTATATAGTGATAACAATAAAAAGAAAGAACTTCGTAATATAATCTAAATAAAGTTTTTATTTGGCACTGTTCAAGCAGACGTACTTTGTCCAGCTTTGTTTAAACATTACCTAGGGTTGATAACTTTGTCCAGCTTTGTTTAAACATTACCAAGGGTTGATAAACAGCACTTAATCAAATCGATAAATATATTTTACCGATAATATTCTTCTCATAGTGATACCAATAATATCTGTCAGATTTAATTTCTAAACTTTACGAGACAAACCGAGTATTTGCTCGTGAAAACAATGTTCTGCTCACACCCTAATTACCTTAATATCAATCTCTTACGACATCTTAAAGACAAATATGCAAGTGAAACAGAATGTACAGTTTCTTACCTGTCACTATTTCTGTATGATGACAAATCAATTTCCACATCTACAGGACTGAGGCTGCAGTTATGGGCAATAAACAGCACTGGAACTATAAGTAACCTGTAAAATGATGATAAAACACACAAACAAAAGGAAATATCAACATTGGTACTCAAACAACAAGTATCAGTGGTAAGTAACAAACAGTTATGGTATTCCCAAGTGTAAAACAATAGAGTACTCTAGAACATAAAATACAACACAACACTGAGACCCTAAAATGTGATGCAATAAACAGCACAAAATAACACTAGTATAGGTAATGAAACAATAAATAACAATAGCACTCATACAAATATGAAACATTAAACAGTAATAGTTTCAAAATGTGGAATAATAAACAAGAAGATGAAACAAAGAAAAAACCATGCTTGCAAACTTTGAAAAGTTAAATCATCAAAACATTTTCTTGCAATAAAATCCATAGTATTATTAGTAGTAGTATCTAAGAACATACAGTACTGGATCCTTTACTAACCATTCCCAAAAACCTTGCATACACAAAACACTTCTGGATACTAATGTACACTCTAATGTCAATCATATGAGCTTCTTAAATTAATTCAAATTACTATAAACACACATAAACATGGCCATACACATAATATATAACATTCTCATTTTTTAAACACCTATGCTGGGATAATTTCCTGCTATTTCATTAAGGTTATGGGTCACCTAGGAATTCTCTGATACCTTATATATAACTATTATCTTTTGTCACCAGCACTGCTCCTTCTAATACCCTGTTCACACCATAAGTTTCTCAACTATGATTCCTGAAACATGTCTGGAACCACAATATCGCTTTTAGCTGTTTTATTGTCACAAACTGTGGTTGTCTTTTACCGATACAGCATCAATCTTTTTTTCCTTTGGCATAAAGTGAATGCAGACAACTCATATTTAGAATATAAAAAAAGAAAATGGCTTGTTCCTCATCATCTGTCATTCTTTGTTTACAGTTGTCAATGGACAACAAATGAGTATCTTAGTAAGGTCTACTTATTGTATCGTATAAGTAACTGAGTGAGGCCCATTTATTATATCATATGTGTATCTTAGTGAGGTCCACTTATTGTATCATATCAAGTTACTTTGTGAGGTCCATTTATTATATCATATGAGTAACTTTGTGAGGTCCACTTATTATATCATATGAGTAACTTAGTGAGGTCCACTTATTACATCATATCAAGTTACTTTGTGGTGTCCACTTATTGTATTGTATGAGTAACTTCATGAGGTCCATTTATAATACGGTATTGATTATTCCCATATAATATCAAGTTATTTTGTGAGGTCCACTTATTATATCATATGAGTATCTTAGTAAGGTCTACTTATTGTATCGTATAAGTAACTGAGTGAGGTCCATTTATTATATCATATGTGTATCTTAGTGAGGTCCACTTATTGTATCATATCAATTTATTTTGTGAGGTCCACTTATTATATCATACTTAGTGAGGTCCACTTATTGTATCAATACTCATATGATATAATAAATGGACCTCACAAAGTAACTTGATATGATGCAATAAGTGGACCTCACTAAGATACTCGTATGATATAATAAATGGACCTCACAAAGTAACTTGATATGATGCAATAAGTGGACCTCACTAAGATACTCGTATGATATAATAAATGGACCTCACTCAGTTACTTATACGATACAATAAGTAGACCTTACTAAGATACTCATATGATATAATAAGTGGACCTCACAAAATAAATTGATATGATACAATAAGTGGACCTCACTAAGATACACATATGATATAATAAATGGACCTCACTCAGTTACTTATACGATACAATAAGTAGACCTTACTAAGATACTCATATGATATAATAAATGGACCTCACTCAGTTACTTA